AGTTTCTCAGAGAACTGGCACTTTGTGTTTAAGTACATTTGCAATCCTTACTGATCCGTTATGTTTTTTTTAACAGCTATCCGTCAAGCTATCTCCAAAGCATTGGTGGCTTACTATCAAAAATGTAAGTTGTTTTGATTGTTGTATTCGCCTTAAGTGGAAATGTATAGCTTCTTGTAGTTTTGGTGCAAAAAATCTTAGTACAGATTTGTTCCATGTGAAACTTCTTAAACTGAAGGTTTTTTGCTTGCTTGTTTGCTTGTTTTTAAACAGATGTTGATGAAGCTTCCAAGAAAGAGATCAAGGATATTCTAATCCAGTATGATAGGACTCTGCTAGTTGCAGATCCTCGCCGTTGTGAATCCAAGAAATTTGGAGGACCTGGTGCTCGTGCACGCTACCAGAAGTCTTACCGTTAAAATTGTTCTACAGTCATGTGACAGTCAATAAACATAAAGAGAATTTGATAAATTTCACGTTTCTAAATTGTGTTTTTCTATGCGAGTAAATAATTTTTTTCAGTGTATGTTAACTGAAGATTGATACACAAATTGATTGATATTAAAGTAAAATCGGAGGATGATTGGCAGTTTTCTTTTATCCCTTCATAGTAGGTAAGTCTAGACAGATGGAGCCTTGGGAATAAAGAAAAGCTTTCTCCCGTTGATGAGTGTGTGGTTATCAGAATATAAGGAAGGCCGACATCCTATTTTGTGTGGGTACATGCAACAGTGTGGCAGTTCATTAAAGCGAAGTTCAATCTTTGCCTTTCTGGTCAATCTAAAAAAATCTCAACAAAGATGGACTTTTTCCAGTACCTGGCTGGCCACTCTTTATGGTGTTACGAACCAATGCTGAGTATCCCACGTTCTTCCCCGGGTGACAATGTTTGTCTCGGCCTCCTTACAGACGGTCTGTAAGGCATGAGAGTGTGGATCTGGCCCCTAGCTAGTAACTTTTGTACCGTGTGTTACGTGACTTGCTGTAGTGTGCTGCCCCAGCGTAATGCAGCACGGTGAGCATCTGAGATACCGCCTTGAGAGTGAAGTTCCAAACACGGCAATGGGCTGTTCCGTGGCAGTAAGCACTGGCTGGCTGCATGAACTGCTGCTGTTTGTGCTGGCTTAATGGCTAGTGGCCATTTACCCCTTAGGGGTAGCTCCCTCCACACAGTGCTGAAGTGGATACTCAGCTATCAGTTGTTTGGAAGTTTGTATTTAAAGTTTATGTTACCAAACCAAGTATTTCTGGGGGCGGGGGAGGGAGGTTTATGGAACTTTTGCCATACCAGATAACACAGAGGCAGTTTTCTGGATTAGGATTCTAAATGTAGAAAACTTTTTAAATAACAAGTCCCATATATTCTGTTTCAAAAATAGTATTTTATAGATGTAAAACATAAAAAAGATTTTGTGTTATGAATAAGATTGGGTCTAAATGATTGGTCGTCCAACTGTTCACACAGTCAAGCACAGAGGGATGTAGACCTGAAGAACGACATTAAATGGTTTAATGAAAAATCCCTTGGAAGCCAGACAGTTTCTTAAGAGCCAGGTGAGGCGATTTGAAGGCCTTAGGGGGAAGTAGGTGGGAAAAACCTGGAGTTGAAAATACGACAGTAATTGTCAAAAATCTAGCTAAAGCATATGTGTATCAAACATGAAGCGTTGGAGAAGTTCCAGTTTCTTGTCCGTTGAAACTGAAGATTCTCGTTCTGGAAGTGATCTCCCAGGGACAAAAAATAAGAGTGAAGTTCTAACTAAGACATGGGATATGCCAGCAAAAGGCTGTTGGAAAGGCCAGTTCTGTCCCTTGTAAGATTTGCAAATAATTGAGTGAGGCCTTGGATATGAGCTGACCCAACAGGCACAGGCACAGCCCTGGGCTGTTGTTTCCTATGTTGGAAAACCAGTTTGGAGAGGAACTGGAAGAAACTTTGGAGTCTAAACAAGTGATAGCTTCACTTCTGCTGTAGTGCTCTCTGAGCCTGGTGGTTTTGTGCCTGTTGTAAGCCTGTATGCCAGTGCTGGAATTGTTACAGGAGCACCTTGATACTTGAGATTCTGTTGGGCGTTCTATTAATGTGGTATTTCTTCTCTCCCTCGTTTAATGGCAGGTTGTTTCAACGTACTCCATCAACAAAAAACTAAACCAGATTCGTTTGTGAGTTGGGTTGGGGAACTGCAAAGAATAGTACAGTTTTGCCTTTTGCTCTAGTTTAGGAAAATAGGTGCTTGTGGCTTTTTATAAATGTTAATGTTTGTTATGATGCCTCTTTGCTTTTTGTGTAGAAAGACATTTAAGACATCTTCGCTGAAGTGTAGTTGTTCTAGAGTTAAACTTGTAACTTGAACAAATTCCTTTTGAAAAAGAATTCTTCATCCATCTCCCATTTTAGCTGTCAGGCTCTGCCACAAAATAGAGCATTAGAGGACCTGAATAGAAGTAGAACGCTCTTATTCAAACCCCTCAACACTCTCATTGAAGTGGAGGGGATTGTTGTATGTCTGTTGCCAATTTCCATGCTAGATTTTTTTTTTTGGTTTACACTAAGTGAATGAGAGATTCTATTCCAGACACTTGCTGTCGTTTTGGGAGCATACGTGATTTGCTTTCCTCAGCTCCCCCTTCCTGCGCCCTCAGATCTGACTGATTTCTCATCCAGTGAGCTCCTCAGGGTTTCTACCTTGTAGTAGAGTTGCTCACAAATTATTCTAGCTCTTGGGCTGTGGAAAACGGCAACGTTCTGCCTCCTAGCCTGGCTTTCTAAGGAAAAGGTGCTATGCAGGGCTAACTTCAAATTCGATTACTTGAATTCCTGTGAGTTTTGTGAAAACCAGCATCTTGATAGATGTTAATTAGTTTCAGCTGAGGAAAAATAAGCCTTTTAGTTGTTTGGCTCGTGTGGTGACTGAAAAGCAATGGCTCACTCATTGCTTAGGAAATGTGTACTGGCCTGCCAGTTGGCACATATGTACTCTATGCTGTGCCTTGTCCAAAACTGTTTCTTGCCTAGCTGTTAGAGCAGTCAGATGCAGGGAAAAAGAGAGGACACAAAGCTACTGTGGTGTGAAATCCAGAGAGGCAGGGGGAGATGCAATACCTGATGCCAGTAACCTTAGGGTTGGATTTGACAGGCATGGGGAAATGTGATGTATCACTTTCTCTGCCCGCAGAACAGCTCGTAACGATTTGGGATTTTTGTTTTGCTGTTCCTTTGTGGAAAGGCTGAAAATAAAACTCGCATTGCTACTCATATATCCAGAGATGCTATCTGCATGTCATTTCTCCAACCAAAAGGCTCTTAGTGTAATAAAAGTGTTTTCTGAACTGAATTCTGATCCTATAAAAATGCCCCATTAATCCTGTAGAGTGATGTCATCCCCGCAGACTTGCTTTCTAAATGAGAAATGTTCATGCAATCAGGCTGGTGGCTGCCTGGGTGGCTGAAGATTTTTATGCTAAGTGGTGACTTGCTGATCACCCACTAGAGGGCTTAACTTCATTGGGGAAGTGTAACTACCATGAAGTTTGAAGGTGTAAGAAGAAAATCTGGTTCATAAAAAGGTTTTCTTTCCTGATGTCCTAGTTCTGCAGGGGTAGCAATCAAGCTCTTGCCATTGAGCATCCCCTTCTGGCCAGAGACACACTTCCACAGAGAAACAGTAACAGTTTGATCTTCAAGCCCGTAGGGAGGTTCTGTGGAGGTGGTTCTTGGAAAAGAAGAAATGTCCCTAACCTCGTGTTGTCCAGTTCTTTCTGTAGGCCCACTGATGCTTATCCTTAGGAAGATCAGGTGCGCACGTCAAAATGTGGCCTCATTCGGATTCTTTGTTGAAAATACCAGTTCAATGAAGGCTGGCGCGTGAGCTCTGAGAAGTACCATGTTTTGTTAGTGATGACAGTGGACCCAAACCAGGGCAAGCTTGCACCCGTGGTGCTGAAGGCAGTTGTTTTTTCACTCATTGTTTGTAATCCTGATAAACTGTGTAATCTGTATATGAAATTAAGTCCTCTCAAATGTTATCTTGGAAAATTTGTGTCAAATTAATTTTGACTGTAACACACAAATACATTAACATTGAAATGTTTAAATTTTATTTTTAAAGAAAAATCTGTAGCTTAAAAATGTAACACTAGCATTCGTTAAGTATGGACCAGTGTGTTCTGTATTGTGTTTGTTTTCTTATGAAAGTGATTACTTCCAATGCATTTTTTTCTGTTCAAATTTTTCAGAAGTCCCGATCTGTGAGTATTCCTTTACTTGTGTAGGTAATGTGTGTTGTTGCCTTGATAGAATTTGATTCAATTTTTTTTATCTCTTTCTTAATATAGTCCTCTGAGTTACAGTTCAGGGTACTTGGCTGAAAAATTCTTTTTCCTTATTAGCTAACATCCTTCATGCGCTTGGGGCTGTGGTGTTTCCTACCCTGCCTGGAGCAGAGATATCCAGACCTAATGAAGCCTGTTGCTCTAACTCTGACAAAGTCCCTTTGCAGCTGAAGAGGCTTGGCCTACTTTTTAAATATTAGAAGTTAAACAACTGTGAAATATTAACATTCACCGAATAGTTTCTCAACTTCGTTATAGAAAAATTGTTCAAAAAAAAAAGGCGGCAGCTATTTTTTACAGTTTCTGTTAAACTGAAAGAGTTCTCTTATATTAATGGAAGTATTTATTTGTGAAGCTGCATATGAAACGTGATGTGAAATATGGCCTTGAGGAAGGGAAGAATCCCAGATCAGATTTCTCAGAAGAGTCTGAAACAGTTCTAAACCAGACTTAGTTTGAAAGTTAGATTTAGTGGAGGGTTTCTCTGCCCATAGCAGGGGGGTTGGAACTAGCTGATCTTTGAGGTCCCTTCCAACCCTAACCATTCTATGATTCTATAATAACGTGGAGACTGGCAATGGAATTTGGAAGCTCTAATTCTTGGATTCATCTCAGCTTGAAAGCAACCTAAGGCATCGTTCTCTAAGAGTAGGTTTATGTGAGGGTGAAACGTTGAGTAGCCTTTGCCACTTCCTATAAGATAGGTGCCCACATAATAGATCACAGCGAGAATGACTACATCAGTGTGCTACCTTGGATCAAGAACTCACTTGTTTCGCTTCTCTTTGCAGTCTGGAGTGGTTTTGGAACACATGGAGCAGATGAAGCTAAGCTGGGAGATGCAGTCCAGCTGCAGAGAAGCAGCCAGTCCATGGGGCCAGCCCATAGCTGGTCAGAAGTAAAAACAAAGCAAAAAACTTCTTGAAATGCAAATTACGTGAATGTCAGCTTCTCAGATCCAACAGTGATAAAAATAATTCTTCAGACATACTCCAAACACAGTGTAGTGTTAGAACATATATCCATTTGCAGTAAGTATTCTTGGGCCACCAGTGATCCCGAACCTGCACGAGTACTGTTGGCAGCTGTGTGGACACAGGGTTTTGTCTTTGTCTGGGGTTGGAGAGGTTTAGTGTTCTCC